CTGTTTGCGGAGTAGGTGGAGCCCCATCCGCCTGCTGACTGAAACATCCTGAAGTCGACCGGTCAGTCACCCAATCAGGATGTTTTGCACGGGAACAAAAACGCAAGCACTCACTACTTGATGTCTTTGAGTCGTCTTGAAGAAGGTGTCTCTGTCCTCACTGCCCAGAAACCTGAAACACAAACGCACACTCATCGGCTTACGTTTGAACAAGTCAGCTCACCGTGTGAGTCCTCAACTATTGCGACTCCTGTTCTGACAGCTGTCCAGACTTCTGATGTGACTTGAGTTCTGACTCATGCTGATTGTCTTGATCTGACTCTTGTTCGGATTCCTGTTCCGGTTCCTCTTCTAACTCCCGCTCCGACCCTCGATGTGACCCCAGAGGTGCGCGGTGAGGAATTTGAACCTCTCGAGCTTGTTGGTCCGGAACTGGCAAGTGTAGAAATCCGGCGGCGGATTCGGGACGTCCTGCGCCAGCGGGTTGGGCAGCGACAAGTACTGGAGCGCGCTAGCCGACCAGTTGACGTACGAAGTGTTGACCACCTGCGGGACCGGAACGTGTCAGAAGACGCCCGGGAAGCGCGCGTCCGTCCGCCTACCCGACGGAGCGTCCGCCCCCACCTGCAGGGGGACGCGCAAGCTGATTTCCTCGGCATAGTAGCACAGGACACTCCAGGGGGCGCTCAGGAGGACGAAGCGGATCCTGGTCTTGGTCTGGACCACGTCCCTCTGGACACCAGACAAGCGGGCGACAAAACAACAAATCAAATGCCCTCAGTGGGTGGCGCAAGCGTTTCAGGTGGGCCTTCGGGTTCACCTTCTCCATCAGGAGTCCCGAGAATCTCAGTTTCCTCAGGAAAGTTTCTCTCCACTTGCTGTGACCGGGGTTCACGGCCTTGCCGTCCTCCACGTTGGGGTTACGAGGCTCCTCCCACGCCAGCACAAAATCTGCCCAGGGATTACACAGCATCCGCCGTTTTTCATGTTTCCATCCACCAAATGAGCACCCTCCCGTTTAGGTCGCGTGAGGAATTTCCATGTCGCCCGACCTCCCTCCCTCAACTCAAACGGCAAACAAAGCTAAACGTCAAATGTTAAACGCGTCCGAAATGCAACGCGCAAACCTGAACGCCCTCAACCTGATGCTGGGGGACAACAAGGCTGGCGCCGTTTCACTCCAACGTCAGCTGAGGCTTCTCACGTCAAAGACATTTGATTTCAGGGGCCGCACTCGGCCCCCTTCGATCCCTCGAGTTGGCCGGACCGGGCTATCGGGAGCCTGAGAAGCTCCAAATAATAACTGACGGGAGGGTCCCGTCCCACGGGCCATCCCTTTGACAACTCGGCTTGAACAAGTGGAGCGTAGCGTCAAGTGCAGCATGTGGAGCGCACGCGCCTTTTGAGCCTTTTCCCGGCGAGCGCGCGTTCTGTATTGCATCGTTTCTCCTGGCTGCCGCTGACTTCGTGTCTTGTCAAACACGGAGGAAGTCACGCCTGTTTGTTCAGCTAATATTGACGCTAACGTGTCTTTGACTCACCGACACGAGTGGATCCGTCGCTAAACGTGTTCTTGTCCCGCGGCGGCACAGCAGCATTCTGGGAAGCGTACACAGTGACGTTAGGACATTTTTTTCCCCTCCGTCTCGTTCGGCGTCAACATTCATTCTTGTGACCACACAGGCGACTGACTTCCTGCTCTTACCGAGGCCATTGTTTCTAACGAGCAGCGGAAACATGGCTTTGTTTTTGTCCCCCCCCCGACCGCAAGCAATCGTGAAACGAACTGCTCAAGACTTTACGACGAGAGAGACCACGAAGGATGTGAAAAGTTACCGTGGCGATGCTGCCGTAGCTCACATCTGGTTTGGTTTCCAAGCTGATCAGAGTGTTCACCTCCTGATCCCCTCGCATCTTCATCGTCCTGAAACAGTACAAGTCACCAGCGCAGCTTCCCATTTGCATTTGAATGTTCACTCGTCTTCATTTGGTTTGCGGCAGCGAGGCCGGTCTTGATCGGAATCACGATCATCTAGATTGGTCGAGTACCAACGCTCCGGCACGACGCTCCGTTGCTGAACGACTCTCGGTCCTACTGGAAAACGTACGTTCCGTTCCGGTGGCTTTTGTGCTGCACGACGACCGGCGGTGCGCTGATGCTAATGCGATGACGATTGTGCGAGTCGTGCGGCCAATCTTCAAGAAACGTGTCCGGTAACGTGGTGATATCGAGCACCGCCAGTTGGGCAACTAACACGAGGTCACAAAGCGACGACAATGAATACGGTCGGGACGTCCCAAAAGAGTCCTCAAGAGCGGCGGGCAGGGGCGAAGCACCCATCCTCTCGGCGGTCCGAACTGGCCGTTGCAGTCGGTCTTTTTGGGACCGGCGCCAAAGCGGACCGCCGCGGATGAACAGAGGGCCGGCCTCGAGGGCTCCTGTAAGCGGGGAGGCAGGCGTTGCATGCTTCTTCAGCAGCCCGCCCTCCGCCTTCTTGCCTCGTGATGACAATGCCTTTGAGTTGCCGTGCCTGTCGTGTCACTCAAGGTCAACCAAATAAGACTGGCCGGCCTTAGCGTTGCATTTAGGGCCAAGCGTCGAAAAAACACAAAACAAAACAAACCCACACAGCAGGGAGAACCGACTGCACAGCTCGTCATCCCTTGAAAGGTCATATCGAGAAGTAACTACCGGCCTTAGCTATTGCCAATGTACCCGTCATAGGGATGGAGCAGCTCAGAGAGCTATGGTGGGATGAGACCGTTTCGAGGTTTCAACAATCTTAACCTTCGCATCGAGTTTCTCGCGGTCCAGGTCAACAAGCGAGGACTTCCGAGGGCCACCGTCGCTTGCTTCAGTTCGCTTTTCATTCAAATGCTATAAGTTCAAGGGCGTCCCGCTTTTAACGTCTTCCAGACATCACAAAAGTGGTTGAACTGAGAAAGTAACCGTGCTTCCTTAGCCAACAAACGTTCCCGTTTGTCACGAGCCACTCGATCGCACGACATCGTCAGCAACTCCGTCAGCTTTACTGCAAAACTCACCTGTGAGCCGGTCCTCAGGTCTCGCTGTCTTCACCTTCACCCGAGTCCTGGATCCTGGTGTGTTGCTGTCCTCAGATGTTTCAGTCAGCAGCTGGTAGATGTTCGCACCTCTGCCCTCCTATTCACATCTATCTGTGTGTGTGTGTTTGAGTTTGTTTGGGAGGGAGGGGAGCGTGGGCTGAAGCTGCGGTTCTAATTTTTGATTGGCCCTCCAGTGGCCCCACCTTGTTCGGGGAAGTGTGCAAGTGAATAGCGCCTCCTGCTGCCTAGACCGGGAATATCCTGAAGTTTGAAAACATTGCGAGCAAGAAAGCTCAACTCTCGCTCGATTCGGTAGAGAGCAGCGGTCCCAGCGTTTTGGAAAGAGAGAGCGCTTGATCGCAACAGTTACGTCCCTGCCACCATGTGACAGATCCTCAGTGAAGCTCAAGCCCAAGTGTCTCATTAAATGCAAAAAGAGTCCGTTTAGTCCAACCATTCAATCTTCAGTGTTGACAGTGGCTCATCTTGTCAGTCTTTTTTTTAATTATTAAAAAAGATATTTTAAGATGATTTTTTTTCAAGCAGTTTCTTATTTAAAATTACGTGATGATATCTTTTTGAAACGAAGAGACGTTGCTAATTCTTTTTATGTACACAAATCTTCATTGAATTGAATTTCCCCCCAAATAGTTCCAGACATATCACTTGGAGTTCCAAAGTGAAACACATCAGACAATTCACAGAGAGTACATCGCTGAAAAAAAGGTTGACAACCAGACCCAGAACCGGTGTGGTAGACAACAGGGAATCGGTTTGTTTTCAGTCAGCTGGTTGGCCAACACAATACAGTAAATATTCCCATCCCCGGAATTCCATGAAAAGGAATTTCCTTCACCCGGAACAAAAACCTATGTATTAACCTATATATATATATATATATATATATAAATACACACAGCAAATATTCCCATACCCGTAATAAAAACCTATGCATTAACAAACATTTTGACTACGATATTACATGTTACCGGAACCTACGTAAGCAGAAATTCCACTAGCCGTAACCCGGATTGAGACGTCATGCCGCGGGAGCTTAAATACACGCAACGCCCACCCGATGCAATGGAAAAGACACGTTTTCACTTCGCGTTTTTCGATCATCAGATTCGAAACGACGACGTGTAAGTGAGTTTTTATTGCCGTGCGTTTTACTGTAATTGTGAATGATTTTAACTTTATTCACTTTCGTCGTGTAGATCACGGCATCGAAACGTAGAAGAAATGGAATGACTGGAGCGGAGCGAGTGAAATGCATCCGTTTGAGCGAGGCTGGACACAAAGTTAAAAACATCCAGCAGACACTTGGAGTCGGAAAGACGCAAATCTACGAAACTTTAAAAAACAAGGCATCGATTCAACTCCTGATGACAAGCCACCATCCAGCGAGGAAGCAATGCAATGGCAACAAAAATCCGCCAGTATGCACAAGAATGACCAGACATCGGTGATCAACGGGACAGTTACTGGCAACTAGCAAGAAAACTGGATGACACGCAGGCAAACATTGTGATAAACCAAAGAATGCATCCAACAAAACAATCCAAAATAGACACATTTTTTCCCAAGACAGAAGAAAATAAAATACTGTACGTATTTTACTGTTGTGATTTTTTGGGATACACCTGTATTGCAGTTTTTGTGATATAAACAGTTTTTGGACAGTATATTTTTGCATTTTATTGATTGTGTTATTACACGTGCATTTTGCCAACATACTTGCAGGTTCATAAAGGACATGTACCATGCTCATTTCCCAAATGAGGAATTTCTGTTCTCAGGACAAATTGGTCAGCGCAAACACGAGTCCGCACTAGAGAATATTTATTGTACTGCTTTCGGGGTCAGGCGCGCCGCGGACACCTTCGGGTTTTCCTGGCGTGACGTCAAGGCCCTCCTTGTGGCCCCGCCCCCAACGGAACACACGCACACACACACACACACACACACGCGCGCGCGCGCACACACACACACACGCACACACGGGAGCAGTAATGGCGGACTACGACTACGATGATCGGGACCGGGCCTATAGCAGCTTCGGCGGCAACAGAGGGTGAGTCTGTCCGAGTGTCCCCGCCTGCGCTGCCGTCCTCCCGCCAACTCGCCGCGGCGCCGCTTCCGTCCCGAGTCTTGCGCGCAGCCCCGCTCGGGGTCTCGCGAGGCTGGCCGGACGGCGAGGAGACGGCGCGCTCGCTGGCCGGACGAGCTAACGTGCTAACGAGCTGACACGCTAACGGGCAAGCCACTTGACGCTGCACCAAACGAGCCCGGCAGCGTCCGGCGTCCGACGTTTGCGAGGAATCGGCGGCGGCGGCCCGCGTGGCCTCTGCGCAGTCTTCCAGCCCGCCTCCGTGCCTCGCTGCACGGGAGTTCGCACGCACGCCGCCGCCGCAGTCCATCCACGCGTTCCCCCTCGCGATTCGAGTTGTTGTCGTTCTCGGTGTCGAGTGTTGTGCTGGGAACGCGATTGCGGAGGTGCTCGTGTCGTCTCGTGCTTCTCCAACATCACGATTGCAACTTTGTGAACGGGCCGCCTACGCTTAAGACTTGAATTCGTCCCGTTTCCAAGAATGCATTCTACGGCGGTGGCCAAACTACGGTCCGGGGACCGTTTGCGGCCCGCCATCCATTCTTCACTGGGCGGCGGCATGTACTAAAATTTACATTTGACGCAGCCCGCGAGGCCGGAAAATAAACTATTGAATAATAATAATAATAATTCAAAAAATATATAATGGAGACGGACAGAGTGAGAAAGAAGGGTGTGGAAAAAAAAACCACACGTTTCTACAAATGCAAAGTTACAACTAAAATAAGCCGAAAAAACTGGACACCCCTGTTCTACCCCTTCCAAGAACC